TACAACAAGTCCTCGCAACAACTCCCAGGATTATTTCCAAGGTAACTGAGTTATGAAAGAAAAATAATTACTTTCCTATTGGACAAAATCAATAAAATTGCGTTTACTTATTTATGTATTGTATGGACTCCCAAAACGGCTGGAGCGACTTTGATGAAATTTTCAGTACAATCTTCAGATTAGCCCAGCGGGTAACTAAATTTAATAGTCAAACATGAATTTGCATAACGCATTTCAATACTAATTAATATATCAAATCTACTTTAAAGTAATGATATTCGGTATTTATATTATAAAAACAAACAACCACGACGAAAAGAGACATCAATTTTTATTTCAAGAGATAAAACTGAGTAATTATCGTTAACTGTAAAGTTCAAGGGATGAGCTTTAAAGCTCGAATAGCGAATACTCTTAGTAGATCACCACACTGAAGTAGATATATCTCGAGCAATTTTTCTTGAAATTCAATCTTTCTAGCAAATAAAAGTTTAGCAAAAAGGAAAATGTGGGTGGGAAAGTTGTAGTCAACTAGTTACTCTACGCTTACAAGACTGGAATGCTGAGTGGAACTGGAAAGATTCAAACGTGTCTAGACAAGAACAAATTTCCATTTCAGAGCAATCATTTTAGATATTAAAAGATAACAGCAGACTCTCTTAAGTTTTACAACAAATTTTCTTGTCTATCTCTTATATTTACGTAAAAAAATTAATTTTTATTAAATATATCCTTATAAACTTTACAGAGTCCGTTAAATTCACGATTATACACGTTTGAGTTGTATAATACCAGATTAAAAACAGACTTTGTCACAAAATTAATTAAATCCAGAAGAGTAGGTACTAAATGTATGTCAAAAATGTTGGATAAAAAAATGAAATAGTATTAATTTTCATTTGCGTTGTATATTGCATTAACCTGTTAAAAATATCCACCAGGGAGGGATCTGACACTAATTTTATTTATCACCCAGTTTTATTTCTCGGTTGTTTACTCAAGTTGTCAAGTCAGGTAACTTGCAATTTGTGTCTGGTGCTTTCAAAAATTATTTTTATTTTAAATGTGTAGATAAAGTGCTTTTCATGCTACGAGGACATTGCAATCAAGAATGCAGAATGTTCCGGTGACCAGCAACGAACCCATGTGCGTTGTACCATGACTGTAAAACTGAAGATTGTCTGATCTTAGACAATTTAAGTTGTTTTTAAATATCAATTCTAACAGTTAAGAGTACTAGTTTCCTTTTAAGATTGAATTGCTTTTGTAAATGTTATCTATAAACTATTTTGAAATAATATACATATAATACTAGCGACTCATCCTCGCTTCGCTCAGATTCGTCCCTAGGTTGATTCCCCGTACAAACTTTAATCCCCATTTTCACTCCCTTAAGGGATGATTTCCAGGATATAAAGTATCCTATGTCCTTCTCAGGATCTCAAACTATCTTTTTACCAAAATTCATCTTAATCGGTTCAGTAGATCCAAAGATACCTACAACGTCACAAACTCACAAACTTTACCTCTTTATAATATTAGCATAGATAACAGACGATAGAAAGTAAACATAGGTGTAAATTTATACTTAAAATAATATCAAAGGAAATATCAAAGTGAAATATCTAAAATAGTTCAGCGGCCTAGCAGGTACGGAGCAAATACCAAATGCCCGGCGATAGTCGCACTTAATTTCCGTTTCACAAATATTTTCGGATCGAGCAAGATCTGAAGTAAAAGTTAAATACTTGATTTCTTTGTTAGTCTGCTTTATGTTACATTATTTTATTTAAAAAAATATCTAGATATCCTTTAAAGTTAATTTTTGAAATAAAAGAAAATAAATAAATCGCATCCACGTGGTAAATTCAAACACTAATTAAGTATAGATTCTACCGTACCTCTTTATATAACTAAAATAAATGAAATATTAATTTAATAGTACTTACTAAGCTTTGAGTAACGAATTACTGAAAGCCTTCAAGTAAATATAGTATAAAAAGTCCGCCTTAGTATTTAGTTTTAATTACAGAGCGGTGTGAGACGGGTGCCATATTAATTACAGTTTCTACAAGGACACAGCTATTAAATAAAAAAAATCTTATAGTATAAAAATAAAAAATAATTATTTCTCTTATAAATCATTTCACCCTTTGAAGTTTTATTTAAATTATTGATCATTTTACCATAATTACTGCTATACAATCTTATAAAAAAAAAGAATCTACCAAAAAAAAAATAGAGACATCTCTACGCTTTTTAAGCAAGAATTTAAGAAAAGTTGACCATATTTTCACATAGTTTAAAGAAATGGGGTATGTCCATCCATCCATGGCCTTTCCATCTATTTCAGATGTTCTAAGCAGTGTATGGTGGTTACTTTAAGCACTTCCGTTGGTGACTGTGCAATCCAATTCTAGAGCGACAAGACCGACCGCAGCCAGAGCAGATGTACGTCGCGACACGTGGATAGAAGCGATTGTCGCTTTCGTGTCGTTTGGCTCTAGTTTCAGCAAGTTTGTCAAACCATGACCCATCATGGAAGCTGGTGCCTTTCCTAATTCTATGCCTCCACTGGTCCCTGTTTTCCGCGAGCTTCTCCCATTCATTTTCTTCGATGTTAAATGAGGCTAAATCACGCTTGACGCAATCTTTAAAGCGGAGCAAGGGTCGCCCAACACTTCTCTTAGCATCCGCTACAACACCTAGCATGACCTGCCTAGGTAGTCTAGTGCTGTCCATGCGATGTACATGCCCCAGCCACCGGAGTCTTCGTTGTTTAAGCAAAGCAGTGAGGCTGGGAAGTTGCGTTATCGCAAGGACTTCTTCGTTGGTTATCCTATCCTTCCATGTAATGCCCAAAATACTGCGTAAACAACGCATGTGGAAAGCGTTAAGTCGACGTTCTTGTTTTGCATACGTAGTCCAGGTCTCAGCTCCGTACAAGAGTATGCTGAGGATGCTCGCTTGGTATACCATTATTTTGGTTCGAGCTGTGAGGTGGTTATTGTCCCACACCCTTGTACGAAGCTTTCCAAACATAGTCGCCGCTTTGCCGATGCGTGTGTCGATCTCTACGTTAAGCGAGAGATTGCTCGTCACGGTTGAACCAAGGTAGCAAAACTTGTCAACTACGTCTAATGCAGTGCCATTCAGTAATATTACTGGTTTTTCTGAGCATCCTTGGCCTAGTATCACAGTTTTTTTGGCGTTAATCGACATAGAGAATAGGTAACATGCATGAGAGAACTTATCCATCATGATTTGAAGCTCATCGGAAGACGTTGTGACAAAGGCGGCGTCATCAGCATATAAAAGACTGTCTATGTAAAGGTCTTTTCGATTGCGCTAAGATTTTAATAGGGAGATATTATAGAGCTTCCCATCAGTTCTTGTATGAAGGTGGACTCCTTGTTGGTCGTCGCCAAAGGCAGCTTTTAAAAGCAACGAAAAGAAAATCCCAAACAAGGTAGGTGCCAACACGCAACCCTGCCGCACGCCTCTGCGCATATCAAAAGGATCGGATAAATTTCCATCAAAGACTACAGACCCTTTCATGTCCTTGTGAAATGATATAATGAGACTGAGGAGTTTTGGTGGACAGCCCACTATCTCGAGTGCTCTATAGAGACCCTCTCTGCTCACAGTATCAAAGGCCTTGTTGAGATCTACAAAGGCTATGAAGAGAGGAGTCTGCTGCTCTCGACACTTTTCCTGAATCTGGCGTAATGTAAAGATCATGTCAATGGTTGATCGCCCAGCCCGGAATCCGCACTGAGCCTCAGGATAAATGCGATCGGCCAGATATTGTAGTTTGCTGAGAATTACTCGACTAATCAGTTTACCAACCACGCTTAGAAGAGATATACCACGATATGAGTGGCAATCGCCGCGGTCTCCTTTGCCTTTGTAAAGAGTGACAATATTGGCATCGCGCATGTCCCGAGGCACCGTGCCCTCGGACCAGCATTTTACCAGGAGATTATGCAAGAGCGGTGCAACGAAGTTGAACTTTAGCAGCTCGGGGCATATGCCATCTCCACCAGGACTCTTGCCGACCTTGACTTGCTTTATGGCATTTTGAAGCTCTTCCTCTGTGGGTTCATTATCTAGCTCGTGCCAAGTCGCAAGTCTAGGAATGAAATCCACAGCTTCTGGCTGAATGTTGACGGGCTGTGAGTAAAGACCTGTGTAGTGCTCAACCCATCTTTGCATCTGACGTCTACTGTCACTGATAATCGTACCGTCGGGTTCTTTTAGTAAGGCAGTCTTTTTAGGAATTGGGCCAAGTGCCCGTTTGATACTCGAGTAGACGCCCCCTAAGTTGCCCACATCCGCACTCCTTTGCATGTGTTGGCAAAGGTCAAGCCAGTACTCGTTCGCAAAGTAACGTGCAGTCCGCTGCAGTGCTGACTTCGCTTTTGCGAGTTCATTTCGAGTTGTAGGAGACGGGTTCATACGATTATTTAGAGCAGCAAGGCGTTTTGAGTTGATAAGAGGATACAGATGCTCGATGTTTTGTAAGAACCAGTCCTCAGTCTTCGCTTTCTGATATCCGAAAGCTTTGCCTGCAGTTTCTAAAAGGGATTTTTTGATTCGTTCCCACTCTTCTTGAAGTGACACGCTTTGATCCCAAGATAAGATCTCCGAGCATAATTGCTCTTTAAAAGACTCAACTTTCTCACTAATCCTGGTCTGAGCGAGATCAATTCTCTTTCTCCCGGGAGACTTCGAAGAGTGAATCCTTTTGCGGATAATAGCCAATTTTGTCACTACAAGCGAGTGGTCCGTGTCGCAATCAGCACTTTGATAAGAACGTGTATGGAGGACATAGCGAAGGTCTTTTTTCCGAGTCAGGATTAGGTCCAGCTGATGCCAATGTCCGGAACGCGGGTGCCTCCACGAGACTTTGTGCGTAGATTTGCCTCGGAAGTATGTATTGGTAATACAAAATTGGTGGTTGGAACAGAACTCTAGCAAACGCTGACCGTTTTCGTTTATTCTGCCAACACCATGGTTACCGAGGCAATCTGGCCAAGCGATGTTATCGCGATGTTATCGCGGATAGCGCGGTGATCGCTAGAAGGTACCGCTTTTATGGCTTGCGTAAGTTGGTCATAGAAACGATCTTTAACTTCAGGTGTTGAGACTAATGTAGGTGCATATGCGGAAATCAAGGTTATAAAACCGCAGTTACTAGAGAGTCGTAATACCATTATGCGCTCTGATATTCCACGAGGAGTCTCAATACACGAAAGGAGATCGTTACGGACGGCGAAGCCCACACCATGCTCACGATTATCATGTTGACCTTTTCCTACCCAGAAAAATGTGTAATGAGCTTCTTTGATGGATCCAGTGTCAGGAAGTCTAGTTTCCTGAAGAGCCGAAACGGCGATGTTGAGTCTCGTCAACTCAGTGTCAATCACAGAAGTTTTGCGCAGGTCTTGGGCGCAGCCTGAACCTCCGCAGGTCTCCGGGAGGCCTGTCCTCATTGTGCGGACATTCCATGTCGCTAAGCGCATGTATAAGTGTGGTTGGTTAATTTGAAGTCTTTTCTTCTGTTTTTGCGCAGGTGACAAAATTTACAGCACTGACTATCTAGGTTTTAACTAGTGCTTCCTCCACCCAACGGAAACAGGTCAATGCTGAGACGGACCAGTACCTTATTGGCCGGGGGCTGCCCAGCTAGAGCGGGCGGTAACTGGTCAGTGGGCCTACAATGGGCCCTCCCACTGTCAAGAATGACCCCTAGCGCCCACGCTTACGCCTATTCGCGCAGACTTATCACTGGTAACTGCCATTCTCCGTGTTGGTTTCATCGCTCTTGAGATTGCGATGGCGGAGTGTCCTCTCCACAGATGTTAACTGCTGTGCCTGGGATTTAATTTAGGAAATGCAGGTTTTCCCACTGCCTACACCACCCTCTCGACCTCGCCAGCGAGGCCCACAGGAACGACGAGTCGCTACATGTGGAGCTGGTTCGGTTGCAGGACCTGACTCGTGTCTTACGGGGGTCCACTCCGAGTACCTCAGTCGCCTCTTACGACACCTGGCACTCGAGGGGAGCACTATTCTATTCTGCCGATGCCCCACGGCAACGGAAAAAGAAATGGGGTATGTGGTATGTATATATTATAGTTTATATATAAATAATAAAATTTGCAAATTATGTACTTTTACATTTTGGTCTTAATAATATGCATTAATACCTATTTCTCTATTATCTATAAAACTCGTGAATAGAACGAGTAGCTTTTTAATGAATTTGATTAAACAAACCACATATGTAATAAGCCATATCAAAATAATTTATCTTCTACTCACGTGCACAACTTATTTAAACGTAAATAAATTTAATAAATCAATGAAAAAAATTACAAAACGTTTGTCATGAGTAAAGGAGAGTGAACATAGATAATTTAGCAAGTCGCTTTTGTTTACAGAAGGACAAGCCCGATGAATGATATATGTAAACAGCAGGTGTGGATAACACATTTCATAACAAGGTTTTATTTATACCTATTATCTTAAGTGTGAATGGTGGGCATAAAGAATAATTATAAAAAGAATTGTTAAAAATGTTAACTATACTCTTACAGCATTTATTAATAACTTTCTATTATAATAGCTGTACAGTTTTTATAACAAAAGGTAGCGTCGGTGAAATATATAGATATTAAAACTATAACAAATATATTGTACTTAAATTGCCAATACAAATTTATCCCTGGACAAAGACGTTATGGGTCGACATAAAATAGTAAACAGTATAAAAACCTTAGCACTTAAACAGTTAACAGGTCACCTTAGCACATTCAAACATGCATCTTTTATATTTATACTAGCATTGCCCGCGGCTCCGCCCGCGTTCAGATGACCAAAAACTAAATTCTTAGGTGTTACATATTAGTATACTCTTACATTGCAGTTTTTGTATTTTTCCTCAGAAATAAGATATTTTCCCGCGGTAAAAAGTATCCTAGGATCGCGCGCTACATCGCCCGGTTTATATAGCTTGAGCAGGCGGTCGAGCGATGCGGGGCAGAGGGGATGGACTCGCCGTAGGCATCTCAATGCTCGCCAAGCATTAAAAATGTTTCGCTACTAATTACTTCTAACAACGATATCTCAAAAACTATTCATCTGATTGATTTAGTGTAAAGAGCAATTTTAATCTGCATTAAATGACTAAGCTAACTAAAATATTCATTTGGATAAGGATTAATACCGAACTAAAGAAAATAACTTTGAAAATAACGTAATGTTTTTAATTAAAAATGTTAACATAAAAGTGGTTATTGTAAGTCAACCGTAAGAGATAGAGATATGTTATCGCGGACTTTTTTGTAGCATTTTTATAGATTTTGAATTCTCTAGTACATTACTTAACTGTATCTTTGCTAGTTTACGCGGCGTTCGCGTGGAAAGTTCCCATTTGGCGAGATTTTTTGCGACCTCTTCAACATTTGTCGCCGTATTTCAGCTAATTTACATAAAAGCATAATAAATTATATACCTAAACCTTCCTCAAGAATTACTCTTTCTATTGTTGAAAACCGTATAAAAATCCGTTCAGTAGTTTTCGAGTTTATCGCGTACAGACAGACAGGAGGACAGACAGGAGGACAGAAAGACGCGGCCGGGGGACTTATTTTTATAATAAGTATAGATATGGATATGGCTTTATCGCCCTTCTTACTAACTTCTGTCCGCAGCTTCGTAGCATGATTTCGTTCATTTTAGTGAGTGTTCCTATAAAAAATAGTGTAAATTTCCTTAAATAACTTTATACTTATTTATAAGTTTAAATCAACAAAAAATAGTTTCTTCAGCGTTATAATATTAGTATATATACCACTTAATCATACACTTACTTTCTAATGAAAAATTATACCAGGCTCAAAATTGTGCATTTCATAGTTTTTGAATTTCTAGCTTCAATCCGCTTTATACTCTCTCGTCACAAGCAAACCGTTTACAGTACCTAGTTGTAGACTAAATAGTAATGTATGTACATATATATAGGTGCATCGCCCACATATTGCAAACGCGTGTATATTCTCAGGTAGCTGATAAACCTATCAGAAATTGTGATGAAAAATCACACTTTACATTTGTTTGAGAATATTATGTATACCTATACGAATATACATAAGTAAATACTCAATTTCAACTATGTAAAATAAACTATTGAATCTCATTTGCCAACGCTACGAGAGCATTCCGAGAATACAAGCAGCGGTTGCAAAATAATGCACATAGAATTACCGAGTTTCTCTTGCAGCTACCAAAACCAACGTTGCGGGAAAGAGGGCCCACATATTCATTAAATTTTCACCACACTGAGCCAATGGATACTGAAATATCAACAGGATGTTATCAGTTTCTAGAGCGAGTTCTAATCTATACACATAATAAAATTCTCACCGAGTTGAATCTGTACAATAAAATTTTTTGGAAAATCTTATTGAAACAGGCATTATTATCGATACAGAAGCCGAATCAATACAGTTTTTAGAATTCTTGTCCGTCTGTCTATCTGTCTGTTAACGCATCACGGAAAAACCACTGGAGGGACTTTGATGAAATTTGGTATCATGATAGCTGGTTATTCCGGTCAACATATAGGTTACTTTTTACAGCGGGAAAATATCTCATCTCTAAGAAATCTATACTAAACGTTAAAACGTAAGAAGGGACGAACCCGAGCGAAGCGAGGTTGAGTCGCTAGTATAAAATGTATAATATATATATATATATATATATATATATATATATATATATATATATATATATATTATACATTTTATATATATATATATATAGGAATATGTTTCTCAATAGATATTTACAATTAGATTTTTCCTGAATGCAGATGAATTTGGACACGCTTATTTTTTATGTGCGTTCAATTTTTGTGGAAACGTCTTCTAAAAAATCCTCGAACCAAAATATAATTTAAAATATACGAAAAACAGCATAACTTTTTTTTACAATAATTTAGGTTATATGAAAAAATATAGTAGAATATAAACGGGAAAGAGTGCTATTTTTGGCTCAGATTCTGACTGTAGGTAACACTTAGTTTAATCTTTCAATTTAAGCCGGACGTATTTATAAGCTAAACGGGGTATGTTTATTAAGCGCGTTCCGCGAATAGCTTGAATACTAATTCATTTTAATCTCGTTGATTCCTTCCAAAAAAAGCAAGAATCTAACCTTAACATTATTAAAACAAATCAACGAATGTGTTATTTCAGTTTATTAAAGTTAAAAAAAAAAACTAAACTTAAAGAGTTCGTAACAAAGAAATCTCTACAAAAATGAGTCGACATCACAGTGTTTGAAGGCTAATAATAAATGTCTTATCGAAGACGTCATAAGTCACACTTTTGTATTGTCTAAAAAATAATAATAATATTACAAACATAGAACTTCGTTTTCGCACTATGCAAAATAGAATTATTTGATTTACCTTTCATGAAAATTATTAAATTACATAACCGTATTTACATCGATATTTTAAAATATAAGAAATATAGGATTTAAATAGTGTTTCACATGAACTGAGAATTATCTATACATATAATAAAATTCTAACTGAATCGAATCTGTACATTAAATGTTTTCTGGAAAATCTTATCGAAATAGTCATTATTATCGATACAGAGGCCGAATCTATAGTTTTTAGAATGTTTGTCTGCCTGTCTGTCTGTCTGTGACCGCATCGCAGAAAAGCCACTGAAGAGATTTTAATAAAATTTGGTATGATGATGGCTGGTTATCCGGTTTAACATAAACGATACTTTTTACTGCGTGAAAATATCTCTTCTCTGAGAAATCTATACTAAACGTTAAAACGTAACTAGGGACGAACCCGAGCGGTACGAGGATGAGTCGCTAGTTTAATTACTATAATTAGATACATATTCGACATAGGGAAGACAGTTAATTTTTATTATTAACACGACTAACACCGTTCAACTGTGCAGCTTTAAGCCATCACTTATCCCTACAAATCACTATAATATTACAGGGATCAACATGAACTATAGTATTCGCATTAACGGAACCCAGGGTCAACAACCGGCCGCGAAGGCAATGGGGGTGACGTCATGGAAAGTAATACCATGGTAAAATGATGATATACCGTCCGGTCCCTTTTATAATAAACGTGAATCACTGCATAGAGGTTTCAGTGTATTTAGTCTGTGTTTACCCGTATCAGATTATTTTTAAATAATAAAATAATAATTACATTACATTATGCCACATTAAGAGTAAAAAAAGCAGCTGTATGTATGTATGTATTTCTTTTGCTTTTTAGCATTATTATATATTTTTTCCATTTAGACGGTAATAAACATTTTAATATTTACTATAATATTAAATACAAATGTCTTTAGATTTTCCTTTAGTTACTGTAGACCTCTTTTTATGCTATTAAGAGTTTGTAAAGAATTTAAGTTAAATTTTGTACAAACTTCTATGTCAGGATCGTCTCTTCTTATTACTTAGTCAACAAACTAATATAATTCAAAACTTGCTTCAACTTGTGACCACGAATACAATCGAGCTGTATAAATTAAAACGAAATTGCATGCATATTTTTATTTAAATTTATCATTCTATCAAGGCTAACTACTTCAACCACTAGTCTAGTCAAATACCATAACCGTTAAAATTATAACCACTTCTAGAGATGCGAACCGACCATGTCTTTGCTCTGTTACGTCATAATAAATTAATAAATATAAGTAATAAAAATGATTGACCATAAAATTAAACCGTTACGTCGAAACGAGAAAGCTACCCGTTTATTTTATATAACTTCAGCGACCACCCGATACATAAACTGTGTAACTTTTTAGAGTTTAATGGAAAATGTAAATTCAATAACCACATGCCGAGATACATAATTTAAATCCACTCTGTATTTTATAAAACAATTTTAGTAAAAAAACGTCTAGACGAACTTTTTACTTGTGTGTATTTTAGCCTAATTTTGTACACATTGATTTAGACGTATAAAGCCAACCTTGGAACACTGGCAAAGTTTTATATCTAATCTAAGGAGGATATTCAATATAGTAATATACGCGTAACAGAGTAGAGTATTACATTACTACTTTTATTGCAACCAAACCGCCGTACAATATCCTCTCAGCGTTTCATTTTACTTAATCCCAAACTGGAATGCATCCGTGCAATATCGATTCGAACTTTCGTCAAGACTTGAGACTGGAGCTAAGAGACATCTTGATATCTTCATACAGTTTTATGTTTGTTCTTCTAAAGTGGTATATCTTAGCATATATGAAATATACTTGCAACTTTAAACTTTTGGTAAGAAGCGAAACTATCACAATATAGAATTCACGAGCGGATATCATTCTCTAAGTTATATTTGGAGATGTAAGCATACAGCGTGCAGCACATTTCTTTGATACAAAATGTCAAG